ACACCACCGCACGGCAGGCCACGGGTCCCACGACGCGAGCATGGAGGGTAGACACATGAAGTTAAGGGATTGGGCAAGTGCGTGCACATGCCAGCACCTCTACCAGCCCAGTATTGTAGCACCACCATACAGCCGAGCAGTCAGAAGAAAAGACTCCAGCTTACACGGCAAGGACAACAGGCAGGCCCGGCGCACAGCCGAGCAGCCAGAAGAAAAGACTCCGGATTACACGGCAAGAACAAACAGGCAGGGCCTGGCCTGAACACACCAGTGCAGGCACATGATCACCAACGTACGTACGACGGCAACAACAGGTACAGAGCAACAGGTACAGAGCAGCATCGACAGCGTGGGACAGCATGAAGGGAGGCTGCAACACAAGAGACAGACCAACACACACATGGCGCTGGTGCGGGTGCGGCCGTTGCTATTTTATTTCTAGGAAAGACATCACAGAGAGGGTGAGGGTGAGGCATACAAACAGAGGACACGCAGAGGATGCACGGACGGCTGTCGGGACGGGATCTCACCAGTTATCGTTGTATGTCGTCTCCTCGTCTTCCCCCAGTGTGCGGGTGCGTGTCGCCGCTTTCAGACGGCTCTCCGCCGGCGTGCCGTGACTTTGTGATTATAGCTGCTTCTATAGGAGAGGGAGGAGAACCTCTTCGGGGACGCTCCGGGGCGGTTTCCCGGGGTTTCGATCCGTGTGGATGCTTGGACTGTGGTTCTCTTTTTCAATCCATGGATTGCAAATAGTCGCGCCCGCAAATGAGTGGAGTTGCCAGGCCACGCGCCGACCTTCACCGGGGTTGCCGTGTGCATTCCATCTCACAAACTCGTACTCTCTCCACGTTGTTGGGGCGCGCACCGATGCCACAAAGCGCTGTCGCTTGGGTACCTCCCTCACACACTACAAGAGGGCATGTTCTACCGCCCCATCACGGAAAAAAAAAGCAAACAAGAGTGCAGAACGCGACCCCGGAAATTGGAAAAAAGGTCCGACACAGAGCACCATAATGCATGGGCAAACAAGTCAAGGTGTCAGGCCACAAGCCGAACTTCTCCGGGGTTGCCGCGTGTATCCCATCTCGCAAACTCGTAATCTCTCCATCTGTTTGCGGCGCGCACCGCGTGCGGGGGTCTCGCCCACATGCTCTCACCTTTGCAGTTTGCAGAAGCGGGGTCGAAGCTGGAAGCTGTTTGCCCTTTGCGTTTGGCACCGTCTCTTTCTTCGTATAGCTCCGCTCTGCTGCCTGGGGGGTTCACAGGCGATGAGTGCGCGAACTATCTTTGTTTCGTCGCAACCTCAAAAGGGGCTCCGTGAAATAATGAGACAGGATGACTGCTGGCTACCCCTATTTGCACGACGCACTTGCAAATACACCCGGGTTGCAAGGGGCTCCGTACACCCCATTTTTCTTTTTTTT